ATTGGTTACACACTGAATGCTGCTGTATGTGATCTGTGAATGCTCAAGGACAGGACATAGAGCAGTACAGACAAAGACTCTGGGACACAGGACTGCCTGGAAGGCCAAAGAGGGAGGAGGCCAAAGAGGAGGACAAGGCATAGTGGAAGCAGGAAGCCCAAGACAACCTGAAGCAAAGATGATAAAGGGGCTGGAGAGATGGCTCAGAGGTTAAGAGAGCTCTTGCAGAGGACCCAGGTTCAGTTCCCAGCATCCACATGGAGGCTAACAACCATCTGTAACTCTATTTCCAGGGGCTCTGACACCCTCCTCTGGCTTCTGTGGGCATTGTACAAGCTAGGTACACTTGCATAAATGCAAGCAAAATACTCATACACATAAAATTAAAAAAAATAATATAAAGGCTGGCTCTGACCATGTCACTCAGTCATTTTGCTACAACCTGCTGTCTAGGCCAGGGGCTGACATACACTGATGAATAAAGTAGGGCCAATGTTTCACAGGCTAAGCTGGGCCTAGTGGGGCAGGCCTTAAATCCCAGCACTCCAAGGCTGAGGCAGGTGGAGCTCTGTGAAATCAAGGTCAGCTGGGTCTACATGTCTACCTAGTGAGTTCCAGGCCAGCCTGGGCAGCAGGGAAACCCTGTCTCCAAAAAGACCAAAAAAAAAAAAAAAAAAAAAAAAGCCTCAGGGCTTCAGGGATATCAAGATCCCACTTTCTCAGCCAAGATACTAGGGTTCTTTCCCATCCTCTCCAAACACAGACCCACAGATCTCTTTAAAAGAGCCTACTATTTCTTTCCATACCTTTAGAACAATGATAGAAGACAGCAGGATAAAGCTCCCACAGTGATGTTAAGATTGCCTGCGTGCTCCTTACTCAATTCAACTGACTGAGATGGCTGATCAAAGTGAGACTGCTGCAGGCATCTATTTAGTCCCCTCTTCATCCCCTTAGCAAAGAAAACGGTATTCAATGATGCAAGTTATTTACCTTCCAAAGTTACTGAACCATCTTCCAAAAGCAGCAGCATTAGTGACCGGCTGTCTTTTGGACTTGTGATTTAACTCATGTCCCAAAGTGGTGACAGACTTGTGTGGAACCTGTCACTTCTGCAGTTTTCCCTTATATAGCCAAAAACACAGGCCATGTACCATGGTGATGCATGTACCACAATGAGGCTGGGCCAGCATTTGACAAATAGACATGATGTGGTCTTAATAAGGCTCCCTTGCCAAGCTGGGCATGGTGGCATACGCCTTTGATCCCAGCATTTGGGAAGTGAAGGCAGGCAGATCTCTGTGAGTTCGAGGCCAGCTTCATCTATATAACAAGTTCTAGCCAATGAAACCTTGTCTCACAAAAAGACTCCCTTGCTCACCCAAGACACAGACATCATAATAACTCCCAATGGAATCAAACCACATTGGGTAGAGAAAAGATTTCAAAGAGGACAACTGAGGTCAGAAAGCTGCATAGTAACAGACCAGGAGCACAGGAACTATAGAACACAGGGCTAAACAACAGGTGGCTTAGCTTCTGACCACTGTAAATAATTCATGACGACACGGGACTGCTTTACGTCACCCTAACATTCCATGAAACATTAAAAAGATTCCTTCCGTCACACCTTGAAGTGTGGGTCATGAAAGCCACAGAGGGGCACAGGGTCAGCAGGAAGCAGCAGAAGCTGGCTCAAACAACATCCAGGGACGGTGGCTTGAGGCGCCCCTTCTGTACCCCCTAAGTGTTTAGGTGACTAGGTTTCCTGCCCCTCTCCTTGCCTTTCTTTCTTCCTCTCTCTCCTTCTCCTTTTTTCCTTCGTTTTCTTGAGACAGGGTCTTGCCATCAGCTTAGGTTGACCATGAACATGGTCATTTGATATGTGCTTGGGCTTTGGGCCACCCACCACACCTGGCAGAAGGTATCTTTTTAAATATCAAACAACTCTGTGGGATTACCAGTGATCTATCTTTGCTGTACTTATCACACCAAACAGAGTCACAAACGCAAATATAAAAGGCAAAACAGGGAAGAGGTATATATGTTATATATAAATATTTACTGTGTATATGTGGTGTATATGTGGGGGGTGTGTGCATATGCAACAGTGAGTCTGTGGAGGTCAGAGGACAACTTCAATGAGTCAGTTCTTTCCTTCCACCTTTATGTGGGTCCTGAGGATTGAACTCAGGTCACCAAGTTTGTGCACTAAGCACTTTACCCACTCAGCCATCTTGCTGTCCCTAAAGACGTATATTTGTTGAACAGAGGTTGCATCCTCTACCAGATAATTTGCAATTCTATTTTTTGCCCAAAACACATCAAATGGTTCCCAATCCCCAGTTTACAGTCACTGGTTCTATATTTGAATTCTGTTTGGGTGCTGAGCTCTGGAAGGACAGGAGACAAGAGTGCACAGAGATCTCTAAACTGTAGAAGAAATGGAATTCTTACCAAATGGCCTGAGGCTGGGCTAGATTACGTTCAGGACATTCCAGACAAGATCAAACTCACTGGGCTTGCTCAGTGCTAGGCCCTAAAGCAGATAGGGGAAAAGGAAACCAAACCAAACCAAAATAAAAGGCATCTCACTGTTCTTTAGAAACAATCACTCCAAGGGGGTGAAAACAGGTTTGACCTCCCATCTCTCAATTCCCAGTGATTTAACACTTAGCCTTTCTACAAACCCAAATTCTTTTGTTTGTTTGCTTTTAGGGGAGAGGGGGTAGCTTTTAGGCTACACAAGTTCTCACTATGTAGCCTTGGCCAGCCTGGGACTCATGTAAACCGGGTTGATCTCAAAGTCACAGAGATCCATTTGCCTCCTGAGTACTGGGATTAAAGGCATGTGCCACCATAGCTGGCTGTTTGCTCAGTTTTTGAGACAGGGTTTCACTATGCTGCCCAGGCTGTCTTTGAACTCTACATCCTCTGTCTCCAGAGATCTGGATTCACAGGCTTGCACCACCACACGGGGATCTACAACCAAGATCTTGCAGAAAGCAACTTCAGACTTTTTTGAAGATAGGACTGTACTTGAGAAATTCATTTTAATGCAACAAAACCATTGATTGTTGTACTTACACTTGGCTTTGGAAATTTTTTTTTTTTAATTTAAAAATATTTTAGGGGCTAGAGAGATGGCTTAGTGGTTAAGAGCATTGACTGATCTTGCAGAGGACCCAGATTTGACTCCCCAACAGCCACATGGTAGCTAACAACCATCTATAACTCCAGTTCCAGGGGAATCTGACACCCTCTTCTGACCTCCCTGGGTACTGTATGACACGAGTGCACTAGTAAATAAAATATTTTAAAAATTTTAACTGGATGTGGTGCCTCACACTCATAAACTCAGTACTTGGAAGGTGGAGGCAGGAGGACCAGGAGTTCAAGGCTAGTCTTCACTACATAGCAAACTTGATACCCACTTGGGCTACATGAAATGCTATCTCAAAAAACATTTTAAGATTTATTTTATTATTTAGTTTTATGTATGTGTGCATTTATGACTGCCATGTGTGTGCAGGTGGCCAAGGAAGTCAGAAGAGGGTGTCAGATCCCCTGGAGCAACAGTTACAGGTGGTTGTTAGCTGCCCAGGGTGGTTGCTGGGAATTGAACTGGGGTCTTCTGCAGAGCAGCTAGAGCTCCTAACTGCCAAACCAGTTCCCTAGCAGCACCGCCCAATTGTTTTTTAAAGGCAAAGCTGTGATTATAGAAGACAGATCAGTGGTTGCTGGAGCTGAAGGGGTGGGAACTGATTGCAAAGGGGTTTTTCTGGGGAGACCCAGAGCACTGCACCAGAGATGGTGAATTCTATGGTCTTATAACTCAGTAGAGTTAAAAAAAAAAATTCACCTTTTACATTTAGATAAAGCATGAAGCATAAGTGAGAGGACTTGACCAGCAAAACATCTTTCTCTTGCCCTTACACATGGCTCTGTTCCCAGAGGCAACCACCATGGTCAGTTGTTTGACGTGTTCTTCCAGAGCTAATCTGTGACTGTGTAAGTGTATGCCTTTACCACCTCTGTATTTTACATTGCTAGGGGGTTGCATGTCAAAGCCGCTGTTGTGAACTTTGTTTCCTGCTCCACATCGCATCCTGAGCATCACTCCAGAATTTACCCAGTGCCACTTCTTTTCTTTCAAAGGCTGCTGCCTGGCACTGCATTGGAAGTAGCAGCGTCTATCTACTTGCCTTCTAAGGAGGGACTTTCAGCTGTCTCTAGTGTCCAGCTATGAGGAGATGCTCATTTAGAGTCTCCAGTGGGATACACTTCCCCCAGTGTCCTAAGTTCTGTGCCAGAACTTGGGCTGTTGTCCTCACAGAGCACAGGTCTGGAAGCCAGAAGACCTTATTTCAAGACTCAGTTGTGAGGGGTCAGAAATATAGGTAGGTCGATAGAGTGCTTGCCTAGCACACATGAAGCTTAGGGTTCAATCCCCAGTCCTGCATAAATCAGACGTGATGGCACACACCTGGAATCCTAGCATGGGCGACAGAAGCAGGGAGCATCAGAAGTTCAAGGTCATCGTCAGCTACATAATTTGAGGCCAACCTGAATTATAAGAGACTGTGCCTAAAAAACAAAAACAAAGCAAAAGAAACAACAAAACCCCTCAGCTTCTACTAGGCATGCATCAAAAGACCTAAAGGATGGAACCCAGGTCCTCATACATGCTAGCCAAGTGACTCTGCCACTGAGCTATGTCCCTAGTTTCTGTGGTGGGCTTCTGCAAGTTGGTCCAAGCACTGTTTACATCCTGACACAGGTCTTCTTGTTCTGACAAGATAAAAGCTTGCCCCTGAGATTTAACCCAAGGCTGACTTGCCTGATAACATTGTCAGCAATTTACAGGCCTGTTCAGGACTAATACCTCATCTCTCAGCAGGGATTAAAGGCCTGGGCCTGCCAGCCTGGGCCCCAAAGGGCAGCCAGCTCTGGTTTCACTCACAGGCATGCTCCGCCCAGCCTGTGTCTATGGTCACAAGGAACGCTGCAGTCCTTGGAGGGAGGCCTGCCGGGGTGTTCCAACCGAGTGTGCTGATCAAGTTATCTAGAACCCGCCAGGTCAGTTCTTTGGCTAACAGGAAATTCATGTATGAGTAGGTGTGCACTTGCAAACAGTGTTTAAGAACTTGCTCTAAGTGTCATGGAAAACAGTTTGGAGCTTCTGATCTAGCTAGCAGTTCTACTTCTAGGAATTTCCCCCCTTGGAGCCCTTATCTGTGCCCAGAGTGAGCCCAGGTAGGACGGTGGGTGAAGCTCCAAGCATGTGGCAGCGAATCTCCCAAGGTGAACTGGTCATACAGACACCATGGCCTAACTGTCTTAATGATCAGAACTCTTACAGTTCTGAGTAATGGAGGGATCAGCTTGGCCCGAAGGGGCTGTGTGAGTTACACACACCCTCCCACACCCTCTCGCTGGCCAAGTGTTGCTACTTCTATTTTGTACCTCAGGTCAGTCTTAGGTAACCTGCCTAGCTGACCTAGTTAATAAGCATTGGTGTCAGGACTCAAACCCAGTGTTGCTCAATTGCACAGCTGAAACTTTCTGTATGGGAGGGAAGAGGAAGGCTCAAGAGACCCAGGAAACTTATCAAGTTCTGGAAGTTCTGAAAGTCACAAGATTCAGAGGCACCCTCCTAAGGTTATATAAACAGTAAACAATGCTCTGAGGGAGTGAGAAATGAGACTCTTCTGTGGAGCTGCCTGCAAGTTGTGCATAGGGGCCTGAGATGCAGCTTTTGTGAGTCATCCCCCATGTTGGGGTAGGCTTTTCAGTGTCGCTGACCTTGAGTCACCCATGCTCCTGTAAGTAACCCCAGTAAATTCTGTTTACTAAGCTAGACTTGGGTAGAATCATTTTTCTGACCTGTTGTAGGTTCCCTACCTGGGGTTGATAAGGAAAAGTTATATTCTTTTTTTTTTTTTTGGTCTTTTTGCGACAGGGTCTCCTTGTAATCCCAGCTGGCTGGAACTCGATATGTAGACCAGGCTGGCCTTGAACTCACAGAGATCCGCCTGCCTCTGCCTCCCAAGTGCTGGGACTACAGGTGTGCACCGCCACGCCCGGCCTGGAAAAAGTTATACTCTTATAACTTACTGTATTCTTATATAATGTCTGTGTATGCTTAGGTGAAACTTCAAATATGAAGTTTCTTTTGTTTTTCTTACTGGGTAGATACCTCGAAATGTAACCCTGGGATGCTCAGAGATGTTTTATTGCTCTGTGATGCTTTCCACTCACTATGCCTGACTATTGATAAAGGTGTAAAACTACAAGACTAGAACGTTCACCAAATGGTTTAATGAGGCACCTGGTCCAATTAGTCCAAGAAAAGTATAGATCAAATATGTCAGAAATCTGAACTTCTGCCGATTATATATGCTTTTGTGAACTGTACTGACCATTTGACTGGGTCCTCACCCAATTAGCCTGGTTTAGCTATAGATTAAAAGGCAGCTGATGTTCTGACCTTCTATGCCTTGGATATCTACTTTGTTGGCTATGGTGGCCAAAGGAATTTCCTGAGATAACATGACCCATCATAAAAAACAAAAACAAAACCTATAGGGCCCAGGTGCTAGTCAGAAAATGAACTATATAATCCTCGTCTGTACTTCAGTTTGGGCCCCAGAGAATCTAAAATCCATTATTGCTTCTAGGACCCCCACGTATGAGTAAGGAGCAAACCAGGTTTCCCACCCTTTCCAGGGTGAATGCTTGGTCTCTGCTGTTTGAAGAATTTTTTCATAATAGGGTGAAGAGATGCCAGTCCACATCTCCGTAGGAAAATTCCCCAAACACAAACTCCAAAGCCTGGGTGCTGAGCAGAATGGCTTCCCAAAATAGAAAGGTAAGCTCGAGACCAGCAAGGACTCTGCCTCCGTCCGTTTGCTTTCTTTGATTCCTCTCTCCAGTTTCTAGCTCAGAATCTGAGCCCTGTGGGAGGCACTATCCAAAGATATAGGAATATAGCAAGGATATGTATCCCTGGCGATGCTGAGCTAGGCCTGTCAGCTGAACAGCATAGCAGAAGTCCTCTTCCTAAGACAGAGTCCCCATGTCTTCCTAAGACAGAGCAGACTTCCAGCATGCACACCTATGGGCTCCTGAAGTACAGATTCCCACCCCGCATGTTGAGTCACTCTGCCTAGGAGTCAGGGTCTGCCTGGCTCCATGTGCCTCCAGTCCTTCCAATGCAGGGTCTCCATCTTCCCACCCATGTATCGCATGGTGGCTTGGGGCCGAATGTCTAAGTTATTCTGGGGTCATATGTTTTCAGGAAAACATTGTGGTTGCAATAGGCCAATGGTCCTAACTCTAGATCAGTAACATATCAGGGTCTGTTTGGATGAATGCAACTTGTGCCTAGACCTAGCCTACCCCTGGCTGAGGCCCCAGCCAGACCACAGTGTGCCAAGAACTGCAGAGGCCTTCTTATAGTCACAGGGTTCTGTGATATGGCAGATGGCCAAGCAGAGGGCAGACTCAAAAGAAAGACAGCAGCACAACCTCAATTCCATACCACCTTTGGACTCAGGACCTTGGTGAAACTCTTATTCGTAGAGCCTGTCCTTCCTTGTTGTATAAGGTGAAGGCTGCCAATTGCCACCTTGGATGGTTTTTCAGAAATGGCAGATTTCACCCACAACTAATTGATCTTGTCATTGAAGGAACCAGCATTTGCTCTTTATCTAAAAACTTTTAAGAGTATATGCCAGCTGTGCTCATGAAATTGATTTAGTTTCCTTTTCCAAGACATCCTCAAGTTCACACTCCAGATGGGCTTCACTGCCCTTCTGTCTAGCAGGAGGTGTGGCTACAGGTGAGGAGATTCCGACCCCCCACAATGAGACTGACAAGACTTTCGGTAGTCCCTTGGCTTGGTCTCCACCCAGGACAGAACTGAAACATGCATATTATTTAGGTGTAATAACTGAAGAAATGAATTTTAATTTCATAAGAGTTTGTTAAGTGTATATCTACAAGCAAATTCTGATTTTCCAACATATTCTACCACTAATTAAACATTGCTGAATAGGCAAAGAAACAAACAAAAAACCCAATTGAGCTGGATATTATGTAGCAATATGGTTAAAATGAGGGGACCATACAGGATAATACAAAATTCTTGTTTGTACAATCTAAACAGTCTTCACCCTGGTGACACTGCCAAGCCACACACGAAGCTAGAGGCTTGGGGTTTAGCTGCTTTCTTTCAATCTTTCTTCCCGTGAGATATGACAATGTGCTTACACCCACATCTACTCCTCCTGGACACAGAATGGGACCAGAAGAGATTGTGGGTATACCATACACAGTGTCTCTCCTCTGTGTGTGTGTGTGTGTGTGTGTGTGTGTGTGTGTGTGTGTATAAAAGGTTGGAAGACTGAGGCCCAGAGAAGTTAGGCAACTTTCCCCATTCTGTCTCTGCAAGATGGGAGGTTGGCAGGTTCTGACTCCTGGTCTACTGCTGTTACTTCTGTCCCACAGCCATACTGGACACTCTGCCTCCCTTCCAGCTGCATGGGCCGGGCACTTTCAGCCAATGAGCAGCTTTCATTTCTGGTCCTGGAAATCTCCTGTGCTGGAGTCCTGTGTTGGCTCCCTTCTAGCTTCGTGATGCAGATGAACATGGAAGCCACGTGCTGGAGGCGGCAGAGCCAGAAGAAAGTAGCACAAGCCCTGTGCCTGCGTGGAAGAGCATCTGTTCTGTATCTTCTGTGAGCACGAAATAAATATTTGTGGCTGGGGAGATAGTTTAGTTGGTAAAGTGTGCGCCTTGCAAGCATGAAGACCCTAGTTTGATTCCCCAGAACTCACATTAAAAAAAAAAAAAAAAAAAAAAAAGGGCCGGCTGGAGAAATGGCTCAGCAGTTAAGAGCACTGATAGCTCTTGCGGAGGACCTGGGTTCCATTCCCAGCACCCACATGGTAGCTGACAAACATCCCAACTCCAGTTCCAGGGGATCCGATGCCCTCTTCTGACCTCTGTGGGCTTTGTATGACACAGGTGCACTTATATACATGCAGGCAATACACTCATACGCATAAAATAAAATAAATATTTTTTAAAAAAGAAAAAAAAGAAAAAAGCCTGGCATGGGGATGCATGCTTGTAATCCCAGAGCTGGGTAAGTACCCATACCTAGGGTTCACTCGCCAGCTGACTTAGATAACACCGTCTCAAAAATACAGAGTGAATGACTCCTAAGGAATGACACTGGAGACTGACCTTTGGCCTCCACACATGCACATGCACTTGTGCAAACATGCACCCATCCCCCAGTCCACAAAGAGATGTGTGAGCTAGGCTGCACATTTAGGGCTATGATTTTCAGCAGCTCAGGGTGTGCTATACTTGAACCATTGGACACCACACTGAGCTAACCACCCATGAATAGAAAGGAAAAGTCACCAGACCCCAGGCCTGAACAAAGCCTCCCAACATACAGTGATATCCTGAAGTGGGCCAGAAAGATGAGGAACACACAGGGTGTGACAAGAGGTCACTCCTCGGCCTTAGTGCAGAGGACAGTGGAATTGCTGAGAAGGAAAGAGAATGGAGAGAATGAAGACTAAGCCAGCCTTCCCCACACAGTGGCATCCACAAGTGGTCCAGGAAGATGAGGAATACACAGGGTCTCGTGGATGGGACAAGAGTTCACACACATGGACAGGTGTAGTGGAACCTGCCTATAATCCCAGTACTCAGAAGGCAGAAGGAAGATGGCTGCAAGTTTGAGGCCACCCTGGGCTACATAGGGAGTTCTAGGCCAGCCAGGAATACACAGTGAGACACTGTCCAAAAAACCACCACCACCAACAAAACGCATAGAACGAAACTCAGTGGGTGGGTGGAAGGCTGTGCGAAGGGGGAGAGTGGAGCGTTGCAGATTTCTATCATAGCCACTGCGGTTTCAGGCTAGCCCTTTAGCCTGGTGTTTCCATATTGCCAATAGCAATGGAACCACCAGGGTTCTTAAAGCAAAGAAATAAACTGTATACTGCTTTGGGAAAATCACCTAGAGAGTTTTCCTAAGCCTTTCTGACATTCTTAGGAGACTTGGTCAGATTTAGGAAGGACTTTCACTGGGAGAAGAGAGAGAAGAGGAAACTTTTAGCATCAGTGACTCATAAATCAGCAATAGAAGAGAGCATGGTAGTACACACCTGTAATCCCAGCACTTAGAAGACAGAGCCAAGATGACTGGATGTTCAAGGTCAGTCTAGGCTACATAATGAGCTTGAAGCCAACTTGGGATATATGAGACCCTGTCTCAAAAACCAAACCAAACCAACCAATCATGCCAAACCAAACCATGCAAAGCTAAACAAAACCAAAAGCAAAATAACATCAACACATAATTTCTGCAAGGAATTGAAATCCCAACTTAGAAAGAAGAAACCACACACATTCCTAAAACAAATACAAACACAGCAGTAAGTCTTATGTGGTTTGTTTTCTTTTAACCAAGGTCAGTTTCTGGGGTGTAGACCATGTCTCCAGGCTGAGAAGCAAATCACTCCACCTCCTGGTGGTGCCTGCCTCTTTGCTTGGAGACAGAGGGCATCAGAACAAGTTGACCCATTCATACCTCCCTTGACTATATTTTCTCAGGAGAAAATAGCCTCATTTTGATTGTCCAAATGTTGTGGAACCTATATTTCCTCCAGAGTTACTCTGACCAATGACTATTTTGGAATCATACATTTACAGCTCCAAACAACATTTAAAATTTTATATATTTATTTTTATTTTATGTGTAAGAGTGTATTGCCTGCATGTTCACCCATGTTGTGCAATGCCTGCAAAGGCCAGGAAAGAGTGTCAGGTCCCCTGGTACTGGAGTTGAGGATGATTGTTAGCTTCTATGTGGGTGTTGGGAACCGAATCCAGGTCCTCTGCAAGAGTGGCCAGTGCTTTTAACTACTGAGCCATCTCTCTAGCCACCTCCAAAAAACATTTTAAACAAGACATGCAGAAAGTCTCAACTTGCATTCCATGTACAGTGAGACTGAGTCAATGAGAAGCCAACGGAGACCCCCAATTGTCCACACGGGAAGGTGCAGCAGGTTACCCTAGGCCAAGTGACTGTAAGCAACCACATATACGATGATGCTGTATGTTCCATACATTTAATAGCATTGGTTAATTACATGTATTAACCTGTGTTTCATTACGTATCAGAACCTGCTGGGGGTTCTGCATGACTGAGCAATGGATTGTCATAATTCTACCAACACCACCCCATGAAATAATGAGACGTGGGGCATTGGTGTTTTCTGGCTTTCAGGGATCACTGATGTTAAGGTGGAGATGCTGAACGTAAAGCAGCAAAGTGGCTCACACAGAAAATGCTCCACATGCTGCTGGGAGTGACCACAGCCAGTAGTTCTAGAAACTTTGAACCAGGGGCCTGGTTCCACAAAAGCAGACCCTCAGAGCAATGCTGATAATTAAAGCTTGTTACAGGGCTGGAGAGATGGCTCATCAGTTAAAAACACTGGTTGTTCTTGCAGAAGACCCAGGTTCGAATCCCAGCACCCACACGGTGGCTAACAACTGTCTGTAACTCCAGTTCCAGGGGATCCAATGGCCTCTTCTGTCCTCTGAGGACATTTCATGATACGGGTGCACTTACCTACATGCAGGCAATACACTCATTTACATAAAATAAAAATAATAAATTAATAAAAAATGCTTAAAGCTTGTTACAGAAAACAAAAACAAAACCATAAACAAATACAAAGTAAGGTTGTAAAGGGGTGAGGGAGGGACCAGGTTATCCCTGCCTGGTTGTCTAGAGTGTTCCCAGCTGCCCAGAAGGTGATGGGATAATTACAAGCTTGTGGTAAGTGGTTTGAAATAATTTGATTGCAGGATAATTTTTATAGTTTAGAGTTATAATTAAAGGGTGTGAACTTTTCTTAATCAACAAAGCTGAGAGCCTCAGCTGCAGGTCCTCCACATTAGGGGTCTGGTCACCCCCACTGCCTTATGCAGTGACCTCATCCCTCCTTCCCATCCCGACCATCCATACCCCTACTAGCACTGCTGGGCAGAAAAGAGATGAGGCCTATGCTGTAAGCCAGGGGATTTCAATTCTAGTTTCTTTGGATAAAAAAGCACTTTGGGGCTATTTGTACCATCCAGCCAGGGGTTTGTCTGAAGCTCTGGAACATCCACCAACACCATTAAGATTGTTTGCTGAACTAGGGGAGGAAAATGATTCAGACACAGAGGCTGGTGAATAAGAATAACAAGGGGGAGGGTGGAGTGTTGGGGGAGCAAGTGCAGCCAATGGCTGAAGAAATGGTGGAAACATACATGGTGCCCAAGAGTCTGCTCTTTATCCCAGAAATTCCATTTCAGCTGCACAAAACAGTCACCTATATGCAGAACAAGACATATCAACAGAGAATCCAGTTTCGACTGTTTCGTAACTCTAGCAACAAGACAATGATTCGTGCCACCTTAGATTACTATATAATTATTTTTGAGACTCTTTTATTTGAGTACATTTATTTAGTTGTTGTATGTGTGTGTATGCCTGTGTGCATGCATCATGATGCACATGTGGAAGTCAGAGAATTTTCGGGAGACAGTTCTCTCTTTCTACCATGTGGGTCTTGGGGATTGAACTCAGGTCGTCAGGCTTGGCAGCAAGTACCTTAACCTACTGAACCAATCTTGCTGGCCCTGTACTGTATAATTCTTAATACCTGTTCACTAAATAGACCTATCAGAATGAAAATGGAGGGGTGGGGTACATATCTGTATATGTGCAGATGCATGTGTCTGGAGGCCAGAAGTCAACCTTGGTTGTTGTCCACTGTTTTTTGAGACAGGGTCTCTCACTGGCCTGGAGCTCACAAGGAAGCTAGTAGGCTAGGGAACCTAGAGATCTGCCCATTTCTGCCTCCCTAAATCTGGATTACAAACTCCTGGCATCACACTCAGCTTTGTGGATCTGGGGGTAGAACCCATGTCCTCATAATTGCAAGGCAAGCACTTTACAGACTGAAGCATTTCCCTAGCCTTTGGGTTTTTTTGTTTGTTTGTTTGAGGGAGAGGATTTCATGTAACTTAGACTGGCCTGGAATTCCTTACGTAGGATGGCCTTGAAATTCTGATCTTCCTGCCTCCACCTCCACCTGCTAGGTCTGCTCCACCATGCCTGGTTTATGTAGTGTTGTGGATTGAACCCAGGGCTTCCTGCATGCTAGACTAGTGCTCTGCCAACTGAACTACAATCCCCAGCTCTGAAAACATTTGAAATATTTTATTTATTATTTTTATTTTATGTGTCTGAGTGTATTAGCTGCATGCATGTAAGTGCATCCATGTCATGCAATGCCCATGGAGGTCAAAAGAGGGTGTTAAATCCTCCTGGAACTGGAGCTACAGATGGTTGTTAGCCATCATGTGGGTGTGGGTGCAAGAGCAGCCAGTGCTCTTAACCGCTGAGCCATCTCTCCAGCCACCCCTCTGCCAAAAACATTTTAAGTAGAATTATTGTAGAAAAACTTGCCGTTATGTTACCAAAGTGGAACAAAAAGTCATCTGTCAGCAAAGATGAACCCTGGGGCTGACAGGGAAGCCCAGAGCAACTCCTGTGATTCACCCCAGGACAACTCATGGGGTGTAGGGGAGGGCTAGTAACACATTCCAGACAACGGCCAGCCAGGGTCCTCATTTGAAGACTGAAGAACACACAGTTATCTTTCTGTCTACTCACAGTTTT